CTCTTTGAAAACCAGTGTGTAATTTTTACTGGTATATCTCTCTCTTAAGACTACTACACAATGGTAAATGTAATAATGCATCTGAACTAATCACAGTTTTATCTAGCATTTAACATCAGAGGTCTGTGCCCATGCTTTGCTGTATACCGCACAGGAGCTGTACAGCACCAGGAAGTTTAGCAATTTGCCAAAGTTCCCAAAGCAATTTAGTGGAAGAAATAGAAAGAGAAGCTGCAAATCCTTACTCTCCCCCCTTCCACTGTATTTTTCCTTTTGCAGTCTAGATAGGTGCAAGATAGCTAAAAGTCCACTCACCTAGGTGAATTGTTTGTAGATATATACAATGCTGCTCACATACCTCAGCAAATAAACCAGTTCTGCCAGAGGTGAGAATATTTTGAATATATTAATATTTTTTTGTCAGCAATCTTTCTTTACAACCATTACTCCCTCGTGTTGCGAACGTTGTTATTGGCTCTTTCCTATTTTGAAGTATTACTATTTATTGGTCATAGCCTTATCTTTTCAATAAACTCCATGATATTTTTTTCTGACAGTAAAAATGCAAGAAGGGGTATGACATTTTCACTTCCATGAAAACCAGAGTATTTTCTAAGATTTTTTTTTTTCTGGAGAGTATCCCTTCAAAAGTGCTAATAGTAAAGTAAATAGTAGAGTAAATTGTTTTCAACAAATAATTCAGCTATAGCATTCTACTTTCTTCCATCAAAGTAAGAGATTAAATGGAAGCTGGAGTTTGCCTTGTGCTTTCATGTTTCTTTATAGAGAAGATGCTTAGATGTGTCCCCATAGCAATCTGTACATAATTCCTGGAAAAGGACAGTATGAGAGAAATAGTAACACTGACTCTTCTCTTACTTGTTCTTTTTTTCATTACCATGCAAGTGCACCATTTGTTCTGGAACTTTACAATAGCATTAAGCATTATATTTTTCAGAGAGAAGGGAAGATGTATATTATTTTAGACTTTGTAGAAAAATTTTCTTGTTTAGAAATAGAACAGATGATTTTTTTTTTCCCTTCTACCCTCTAGTAATTCAGTTCAAAGGTACCCCTTTGGGGAAATTACAGGGAGTTTACAGTGATGGTATCTCAGTTCATAGGTAGGGTATTTTCACCTGCAGTTCCCTCAGAGCTGCAGCCTTTGACCTCTGGCTGCATCTATCAGTGGTGATGTGACAGTGACAGAATATTTTGCTAGATTTTGAATGATTCCTGAGTTCACACTTCTGTGCTTAGTAATAAAATGTAATATGACTGAGGTTCTCTTCCCTATGCCACAGCTTTTCCTGTAGAAAATATCACTGAATAATTTTTTGTTTGAGCCCTAAGGGGAAAATCCCATTCTCGATTACTGTCAAACTGTTACTCCTAATAATGATATTCCATCATTAATTTGTATTTACTGAAAAACTGGACTCAAAGATCTGTGTTTCAGGGCAGTTGTTTCTTATAAGCATGTTGCTTTATAAATCAAAAAGTCAATTAAGTATGGTAATTTTTCATATTCTGACATTTTACAGTTTCATTTTACAATCCTTTTGAAAATTGCATTACTTCTTCTCCCTTAATAGATTTTGAGCCATCTATTAATTTCAGTCATTTGCCGTTGCAGTCTGATGACACTACAGTATACACCTCTGTAATCAGAACTTAAGCCAAGATAACCTGTGAGCATGATTCCTCTTTTTTGCAGGAAGACATACAGGGAAAAAAAAAAAAAAAAAAAAAAAAAAAAGTGGAAAATTCTGAAGCTAATTGAATTGCTTTTTTTTTTCCACTTTTCTGTTACACATTTGGAGAAAAGAAAACCTGCAAAGGAGATGGGGTTCTCCACAGCAACATTGATGGGGAAATTATAAAAATCTAAATCTCAAAATATAGCTAATCTTTGATGAGATACAAAAAGCATCTTTCTTTGTTTCCTCCACTATCTATCCTTCTCTAGCAGTAAAGCCCAGTTTTCAGTTCACATCTTCAGTTTCCAGACCAGAAAGGTTCTTTTCTTGCAGACAACATTAAGTATTGGGAAACTAGGATTTGTTGGGGTAGCTGTTTCCATTGGAGATAGGAAAGTGTTACTGTATCTGTATAATGAAATTATAAGATTAGGTAGATTGACCCACCTTGTACCTTTTGGTCCAAAACTGAAGGCCATAGATCCATGCTTGGTAGTTCTCATCTGGTTCAGAAAGATAGTAAAATACATGGAATAATTAATAAAAATTTTGTGATGGGAGACATTAGGGTTTGGCAAGAAATACTGTAGATTCACCCTAAAATTTCAAGAACTATTTTTATATACAGTACTGGCTACCAAAATTTTAAGAAATAACTTGGAGCTGTACAGGCATAGAAATTAATTACTATGATGACTAAGAAATGGCAAGCCTGCCCCTTCCAAGAAGTTTATGATTTGTTTAACAGAGTCAAAAGGAAAGACTGAGAGGGCTGATTTATTCTGTAAGTACATGAGAGGCAAAAACACAAGAGAGGAGGACCTGAAGCTAAAGAGCAGTGCTGACACAAGAACAAAGAGATACAAGGGACACAGGAATAAATTTAGACTGAAAATCTGAATATTTCTCACCCTTAGAGTAGGAAAGGTCTGTAACATCCTTCCAAGTCACATACACAGATAGCCATTTCATTCATTTATTAACAGGTTTATATGATGTGAGTGTCTACATCTAAAACAGACTAAATTAATTGACCCACAAGCCTATCCAAGCCTCCATTCCTAATGTATATCTTTGAGAAACCCATGCCATATTGCTTAGCTACTCCAGTAGTTCCCTTTTGTTAATTTGTTTTAATGTTATCTATTTTTCCAGTTAGGACACTGTGTTTTATTGCAGGGTTGAAATGCGTGCAGCTATTCACCCACTGGACCTGATTGTGCCATTAGCTTCAAGATCAATTTCTGGGTTATTGGACGTCTTTTATGCGTGTGACTCCCAGCTACCATGGTCAAGCCACTGCTTTGCTGCCTGTGCAGTGAAGAAAGGACTTTAAGCACTGTGCAGCCTCTTACCTTACTCTCTCTGTCAGTTGTGTGACATTCCTTTAAGCTCATTTCTGTAAATGTGCATAGAAGAGTTTAATCTTTCTGGTCTACAGCGGAAAGATAGTTCTCTGCTCCTGTTTGCTATTCTAGGGTGTTCCATTGAAAGTTAATATTAAGGGAATTTTTCCTTTCTAGCTCCATAAATCCTTCTCTGTCTCACTTTCTTCCATAACAGAATCTCCTCTCCAGTGAGCAGAGCTCATGCTTGTCCAGGAACTATTACCAACCTTCCACCTGGCCATGTTCAAAATGAATAAAACGCATTTTGCTACCTTTTTATTTAACTAGGCAATGCAGAGAATGGTGTAATAATGTCTTTCTCTCTTCATTATACAGTTGCCCATGAATCTTTGGATCAGTTTTATATATAACCATGTCGTACCAGCAAAGATTTTATATTATCCTTTAGATAATATTATTGGTTAGTATTTGGTCAAGAATCAATTCCTGGCTCCTAACTGGACATCCTAATTTACAATATCCTTCTGTGTAGCTCAGAGTAGATGCCTTTCAATGGACAACAAAATTTTAAGATCAGTCGTTGAACCAGCGTACCATCCACCTTGTCCCCAGTCAGTTCCATATAAAACAGGTTTAAATCAAAACATTGTATTACACAAGGCAAATGTCTTGAAAAAAATACCTTGAGACCATTTTAACATAGCCGTCTTTATCAACTATACCTGTCATCCTGTCAAAAACAGATAAAAAGCTTGCTTGACAAGACTCCCATTCCAGTACAGCATGGTGACTGGCATTAATGAGATTTTTGCTTCCAGTTCTTTGTTGACAGAACTGTGGATTAACCATTTTGTTATTTTGCATAGGATTAGTGTTACAGTAATTCATCGGTAGTTCCCTAGGTCATTTCTTTCATCCTTTTTAAGTATTTGAACTGTGCTGGCAGAGCTCCAGTCCTTTGGAATTTCCCTATTTTCTATATTTCATTTGTACAAAGTAAATATAATCAAATGAAGTCTGTGTTATCTAGCAAGTTGCTAAATTTTTGTTACTGTTTAACTTTCTTTGTCTGAAAAAGCCTTACTGCATATAGGAGTTTTACTGTTAAGCTATCAGCATCTGTTATTATTAGAAACAACAGAAATGTTGCTATTTTTCGTATAAACACTCCATAAATGCCCACTTGTTTGAACCCAAAATAAAATGCATTTCGCTCCTGTATATAAAAAATAAATATTTAGAGAGTGATCTATCCTACTCTCTAATAAATTAAATGTGATAAAAATGGCATAGGTATCCATAGTAATATATATAAAATGATGTATACCCATAACCATTTTTACGTATAATTTTAATCTATAAACATTCAATGTGTCTCTGAATCAGTAATGTCTGTGCAACAGTAGTATCTTTCTAGTACAGTGCTGTTCTTCCTCTCTTTTCCTCACCTCAGTTTCATGAAGCAAGTTATGATCATTTATGTAGCAACATCCTCAACTCGTGCTACTGTTTAGGTTCCTAGCAGACCTCCAGAAGCATATAAGTTCAATAGCAGATCTTTATATTATGGCTGCTTTTAATACCACACACTGTGTGTTCTTTTTCTGAAATATACATTTTCGGTATTTTTAGGTCATAAATCAGTGATGGATTGTCATCATTTGTGTACTGTAAACAGCACACAGTCCATTATTTCTAAACCAAAGTTTGCTTTTTGGTAATGTATAGATTAATGCATTGGGAAGCTGCACATAGGAAACATAATGATATCTGAATGTATTTTGGCCAGAAGCCTAGGTATGAGATATTTAGGCAGATTGCACCTTCCTTTGATGCTTACTGATTTAAGGCAAATTACAGCAAAGTTCTTTTGTTGTTAAAACAATTCTGGTTTAGTATTCCTCTGTTGTTTCCTTGGTTTGTTGTTTTTCTTCTTGTGTTTTTTTAACAGGTGACTATCCAGCTCCTCGGGCTGTTCTAACTGGTCACGACCATGAAGTTGTCTGTGTGTCGGTCTGTGCAGAGCTGGGACTCGTTATCAGTGGTGCTAAAGGTCAGAAATGTTTTTATGATTTAAGTCTTAACATTTTTAGAGGCTTTTTTAGTGGTACTTCTCAGTCTTCCCCCAAGCCACATATACTTTAATTATCCAAAGTCTCCTCTACTAAGATGTGTTGTAATTCTGGGGGAATCTGCAGCAGCTTACTCTGAACTTTATTACTTACTATCTGGACTTAACGAGGTTTAGACATAAATTAAGTTGATTTTTCCTTCCAATGGTCAGCCTGTGCTACTATTTTCCAAAAATTTGGAAGAGCAGTTGTTAAAAATGTAGACAATAATTCATAATGACATCTACTGATTTTGAAGAAACTGTTGATAGAGACCCGTAGTTAGGGAAGGGCCAACTCCAAGTTCTCCACACTGATCTTAATTAACTGGAAGTTTGTGGGATTGACCTCACTCTCCTGGGCAAGGAAAGCAGAATAAATTTGCTTGGTTTTGGATCAGTGGACAGCATTTCACTCAGTAGATTTTTTTTGTAGTGTATTCCAAATAATCAGGAGTTTGCAGGTTTTTTGTTACCTCTCTTCTATTAAATTTTTTGAGCCATCTGTTCACACTTTCTCCCTGTTACTTATGATGGAATCCAGAGTATCCAACAATTACTAATACAAAAGTTCAAAATACCTTTCCAAACCTGCAGCAGTCTCCTGCATAACTGATAATCAACATAAATAAAATGTTTGCTTCATCTTTCCTTATTCTGTTTCCCCTTCGTTTGGTTCGTTTCACTTGTTCTGCACACCTTCTCCCTTCCCCCTTAATTCCATGCCCATTTCTCTTCCCCCACTGCCCTCTCATTCTTTTCTTAATTTGGCAAACTGCATGCCTTTCTCTCCTTTCCTGTTTGCTTCCCCCTCTTCTCCCTTATCTGTTCATAGAATCATAGAATCATACAATGTTTTGGGTTGGAAAGGACCTTAAAGATCATTGAGTTCCAACCCCCCTGCCATGAGCAGGGACACCCTCCAGTAGACCAGGTTGCTCAAAGCCTCATCCAGCCTGGCCTTGAACACCTCCAGGGATGGGGCATCCACAGCTTCTCTGGGCAACCTGTTCCAGTGCCTCACCACCCTCTGAGTGAAAAATTTCTTCCTAATGTCTAGTCTAAATCTACCCTCTTTCAGCTTATACCCATTACCCCTTGTCTTCTCACTACACTCCCTGATCAAGAGTGCCTCCCCATCTCTCCTGTAGGCCCCCTTCAGGTACTGTCCGGCTGCTATTAAGTCTCCTCGGAGCCCTC